TTGGTTATTGAAATTTTACACTCGATGCTCGCTCGAGCGTGAGACACAGCCCTTCGCTTGAGCGTAGGTCTCGTCGCTCGAGCGTGCATCTGCATGCACCAAAAACTTGAGAGCTTGCAATTTATGCTCGAGCCACCATTCCTTTGCTCGAGCGGAGCTTTGAACAAACGATGGTCGCTCGAGCGAGGAAGCCAAATTTTGGAATTTCTAGATTTGCCTCCCAAGCTCAAACCAAGCATTCAACACCTCAAATCTCAACCCTTTGGGCCCATTTTCTGGAAAACACTTGTAAACTCATAGGATAAGATGTTTCAGAGATCAATTTGTAAAATCAAGCCCAAAGGTGAGTCAATTAAACACAATTTCAAATAAAATCTCAAGAACAAAACAAGAGCTTAACATGCAAGTGTTCATTTTAAATCCAATGCTCTAGAACATGATCCAAAACAAGCTTAAGCTCAAGAATAGGATGAATTCATGGGCTATAACAAAAATATGGACATGCATGTGGAAATTCATGAAAAACAACTCCAAAATCCAAGAATATGTGCATGCATGCATGATTTAAGCCTCAAATCAACATTTTCAACAAATTCTTGACTTTAAACTCTAATCTTCCATGAACCATGCAAGAATTAATCTTAAATTCACAATGGAAAAGGTGAAATCTCTATCTTAGGTCTTGAATTCTAAGTGTAGAAGCTCAAATCTTCCAAGTTTCCTTCAAATCTCCAAAGATCAAGCAAAATTCTTGTTGAATCAATTTTCTCCTACTCTTCTCTCACTCTCACGGTTTGGTCTGAGATATGGATGAAGAAATGATGCCTAAAGGGTGTAAATTAAGTCCCACACAAGTTTGTAAAGCTGGCCCACTAAGTGACAAACATGTAAATACTCAACTAATGTGATTTAGCATTATTTAATCCAATTTAATCATACCAAATCAAATTTCAACTAAATTTACCATAAAATCACATCAATTCTAATTAACACAAAACACTAATCCGTTTCAGATTCGGTCCCCGATAAGGTCTTCAATTTGCAATTTAAAACATAAAACATGAACAGATCATTTGATGACAAACAGATAAAAACACAAAGATAAAGCAATACATATGCAATTTAATTTTGGATTCATTCTAAATTACTGTTAGGCATAAATAATCATGGTTTATCATTAATCGGAGGTCGGGGTTATTACAGAAATGACAAGTGGTGGCAAGTGGCGGCGGAAGACGGTGGTGGAAAGTAGTGGCGGTGGGTGGTGGGTAGCGGGTGGTGGGTGGTGGTGGTGGCAAGTGGGTGGCGGGTGGTAGCGGGTGAGTGGTGGTAGCAGGTAGTGGTGTAGCTTATATTTTTAATTTTTTTTTAATTAAAAAATTTTCAGTTCATCTGTCAGGCAAAATGCAAAAACCTAAGACTTCTTAAATAAAAAAAATTTACTAAAAATGGAAATAAATCAACAAAAAAGCTGAAAAAATAAATTAAGAAAAAAAAAAATACGTCAAACACCCATTCTTTATTAAACTAAAGCTTTTCTATTGCCTATATAGCCAAGTTACCTAATATGGTTTTTCAATGCATGTGAATAATTGAAAAATGGAAACTTCCAAAATTAGATATTGCAGAGGCAAGAACCAAGACAAATAAAGGGTTGTGAAACCCTATTTCACCTCCTCTGTATTGATGGGTGGGTGACGGTAGCGGGTGGTAGGTGGTAGCGAGTGGGTGGTGGGGGGGGGTGGTGGTGGTGGGTGGCAGATGGCCGGTGGTGGCGGGTGGGTGGTGGGTGGTGATGATGGGTTGGTGGGTGACGGTGGTGGGTGGTAGCGAGTGGGTGGTGGTGGGTGGTAGTGGCAGGTAGGTTGGTGGTGGTGGTGGGTGGATGGGTGACGGTGGTAGGTGGTAGGTGGTAGTGAGTGAGTGGGAGTGAGTGGTGGTGGTGGTGGCAGAAAACGGTAGTGGAAAATGGTGGCGGGTGGTGGCTAGTGTTGGGTGGGAAAAAAAAGCAAAACTCAAAACTCAAAACGAAAACATATTTTTTGAGTTTACATTTTTTGGCTAAATTTATAAACTGAAACTACTGATTTATAAATTAAAAATTTACCAAACAAGTTTTTATTTGAATTTTTAAAATTTTTGTAAATATAAACAGAAAACTGAAAACGTAGGTGTTACCAAACGGCACCTTAGCAAACAGGCTTTAGATGGTAAAAATGTTGTAAAATTAACAAATAATTAAATAAGTTACCAACGTAAGAAATGACTTATCAAAAGATTCTTATAAATCTTAGAAATAATCAACCCATTCTCTACAAGCAACATTCAGATTACAATTAGGATTAACAGCGTTTAGCACTCCGTTTGTTTGAATAAAAAAAAATTTAATAAAAATTAATTTTTAAGAATTTTTCTTTCCAAAAAATATCTTTTAGATAAAATATTTTTTTATGTTTAATGGTGGTAGTGGTGAAACAAAGGTGGAGGTGGAAGTGATGACACGGTGGTGGGGCAGCAACGGCGGTGCTAGTGGCAGTGATGGCGACAGTGATGGTGGCGGTGGCCTTAGTGATAGTGGTGTGATGGTAGAAATGAGAGTTGTGTTGGTGGTGAAACTGGTAAAGTTTTAGTCCAGGAAACATTTTCTGGTTTTTAAAATGAAAAATAATTTCTATCCAAATAGGCTTGTTTTCTATTGATTATGGAAAATTTTTCCTATTGACTTCTAATTTTTATTATACCAAATATTAAAAAATATGAAAAATATTTTTTTATTTTTCCCCCAAACAAATGGAGCATAATTAATTTTGTTAAGTGAAATTTAGTGAAAAATCATATTTCATAGACTTGTAATCTAATAATCTAATAGATCTTATGTGTATTTTCAGGGAAATCCTAATATGTACAATATTTTATGTTTTTGAAAAATGTGTATAATATGCACTCTTAATTATGTCATTTTATTCTTTAGTTGTGAGCAATTTTCTTATTTAGTTATAACATCATTTCAGGTATGTCTTATAATGTATTTAATTATGATATATTTTTAATTTTTTTAATTATGATTCAGAAAATTAAAGTTATATCATTTTTCTTTTTAGTTACAAAATGCATATACAAAGAGTGTGCATCATGGAAAATTATTCAATATTCTCAGAGTACCACGTGTTTATACTTCATAACTAATCATTATTTAATATGTCCCCTCATGTTTCTCAATCACCAAACACAATACTTCACCTACCTACCTTCTCCACCAATCATAATACTATGGAATATCATGTGTCCACACACCGAAATTACTGAATAATTACCCGTGCATCATAGTGTTTTTATATTCCAATTAATCTTTAGGTTTTCTAAAGTTTACCAAATAAATTCCATATCCAATATTTTATGTTGTTTTATGAACATGAGATGTCGTTTGGAAATATGTTATTTTAATAACTTTTTAATTTTTTATGAAAAGATATGTAAAAAAATAGAGAGAGTAATGTGACAATTTATAATAATTTTTTAACTAAAATATATAATTGACAAACGAGATTTGAGTATCGTTCTAAGTTCGGTATGTATTAATCCCCCAAACAAAAAAATTTGTTTGATTGTGTTGTAAGCCTGGTTCTCTCTATTTATACTACTTACGGCCGTCGGTCACTCCAAACCCCTCCTTTCTCTTTTTATCTCTCTTGATGTTTATATGTATTTTTTGTCTCTAGGTTTTTGCTCAAAGTGAACTGTGTAGAGTTTATTGGGTCTGTGAATGTTCACTTTAATTTGGTGATATGAAGTGTCACATTACATCGTGCCAATATACAAATTATATTGTGCGATTACTACATAGGAGTGTTTTTGTAACTTTGCAACCCGCAAGACTAATTGGATTATAAAAACATAATTAAAATTAATTGGAATATATGTACAAAACATGATTTATAGAAAAATGTCCCGTTTGTTAAACTTTTTTGGATTTATTGTTTAATAAGTCTTATAATAATTAATGATATTTTTTTATCAAATACTTTAAAAAAAAAGTTCATAATTATTAATTTTCCGTGATAGTTTAAAATTTTTATCACAAAAATTGTCGCTAATTCTAAGTTTTAACAATAGTTTAAAAAAATTGCCACAAAAAAGTTGCTAATTTTTAACCTTTAGCGATAATTTGAAAAATTCTTTACAAAAAAACGTCAGTAATTGTAAGTTTTAATAATAATTTATAAAAATCGTGATAAAAAAGTTATTAATTGTTAATTTTTAGAGACATGCGAAAAATCGTTAAAAAAAATTATTTTTAACTATAATTTTATTAAAATTTATTTTGAATAAGACTTGATGAGAATTAAATGTAATTATTAAAACTTATTGATGATTTATTTATTAGAATTTATTTCTAAAAATTTTATGTAAAAATCAATCAATAATAATAATAATAATAATAATAATAATAAATTTGTAAGATTTTTTTATTAAAAAAAAACATGTATAATTTTAAAAGAATAACATTTATTTTTGTAAAATAAAGTTCTTATTTTTACCGAATGATGTACACACAAAAAAATAAAAAACAAAAAGTTAAAGGATAAACCAAATGGGAACATATCTATAAAGGAAAATGCTCCGTAACTCAAGAAAATGAGACTCGAATGGCTCGAATGGTATGAAAAATATTATCTTACCGGTAAGAGAATTAAAAAACATCCTAAAACGATGCCGTTTTGAGATTTTAAGCCACGAAAAATTCGAGTTACGAATCAAACCCCATCCATAAATAAGAGGAACATAAAATCTGTAATAGAGATAGAAGAAGGAGAGTCTACCCAATTTGTCCATAGTAAAGAGAAACGTGGCCTAGCTTTCCTGACGTGGCGAGCCATGTCCAACACGTGTACCATCCACATTTACATGCAAAAAAGAGAAGAAAACAAAAAAAGGTTAAGTTTTTGGCTATATATATGTAAATTATTACAATTCATTTGGTAACGCTTATAGCAAGCAAATTGCAATACACCTTCTTCTATCTTCTCCCTGCCGTTGAGTATCTATTTATCTTAAAATCGAAGCCTTATTCTCGATCGATCTTTGGTTTCTGATCTGAATCTGTTCAAAAATGGCAGACATCTATGATCAATTCGGCAATAAAATACCGCTGACTGACGAACACGGCCACCCGGTTCAGTTGACGGACGAGCGCGGCAAGCCTATGCACCTTACCGGCGTTGCCGTGGTTGAGGAGGCTGAAACCGGTGCTGGCGTCGTTGTCACTGAGACTGTTGTTAGCGTTGGCATGACCGACGTGCTTGGACATGGGCATGGTGCTGGTGCTGGTGCTGGTGCTGGTGCTGGAGCTGGCAGCGCCGGCATAACAGACATTGGATCTACTGGCGGTGTTGGTACTGCTGCCAGTGATGCACACCAGCGGGAGCAGCTTCACCGCTCCTCTAGTTCGAGCTCTAGCTCGGTGAGATATCCTCACACCATATAAAAATGTTTAAGAGCTCTAAATTAGGAGCTCTAGAGGAATTCTAATTTGTCTTCTTTCTCATGATGAATTTTTTTTTTCCCTTTCCTTTCTTTTTTTTTTTAAATTTTTGCCCCGGCGCTACACCTAGTGCTCTCTATTACAGCCGCACACTATATTTGTTTTATGATTACATTTATATATATGTATATATATATATATTAGCCACACGCCACGCAACGCAACGCGCGTGTAATTAAAATAAATTTTTATTATATATAATATATTATGCAAGTGGTAAGAGTCATGTTTATTAATTCTAAAGTTTAATTCTAAAGTTTAAGGGCCAAGTTAATTATTATTTTTTGTTTATATATTTCAAATAAGAAAATGAGGACATGTGACATAAAGAAAAGTCAATAAATTATCAATAAAACACTTTAATTTGGACATGAACCCATACTCAAATTGGACGCGCATTGCCCATAGATTGTACTATACTTGCACAGATGCCCATGTATGAGTTGCACCCCGTCCAAGGCAAAAACTCTTGGGTGAATTATCTTGCTCTTTGTGATTATACCGATGGCCGAGAAGGCGAAGTTGAACAACCTCTGCTGAGGACGATGGATTCTATCCTCGACGTTGACTTTCTTCTCCTCCTTCTATTTTACCTTTATTTTTCATTTTTTGTACCTCACCTCAATTTCATCAAACTCATTAAAAAAAAAAAATTTCTTTTTTTCAATCTAGTTTAGCTTTGCTTAGGGGTTTCTTTATTCACTTTTTCATTTTCAAATTAATTAAATGCTAGGAAAGATCAAACATGTGGTTGAAAAATTACACGGTTGGCAATCTGGGCTAACTGGGTTGTGCAGTTCAATATATACGCACGTCCAATAATACGTGACGATGGGCTCAGCCAAGCTATTCCGGAGACTTTAAGTTAGCCATCTCGAAACACAATAATATCACAGAAGACTTTTTTCTAGCTAACAAATTGATCGCTGTACAGAGAATTGGATCACGTTTGTCAAGCAATACGATGTCAGTGTCACCACGGGATTCTGAAGGGAGTGTGCTGACTATCAAGTAATTGCGAAAGACTATTGTATGGCGATACTGATCTACCATCCACGAAGGGCCGTCTCCGAGAGCTGTAACATAGGCTTTGCCTATGGACCGAACGACCGTCACTGCGCCGAATGGGGCTTCTGTGAGATCCGTGCATGAATGTATAGTTGTAGTAACAAGCTCATCTTTGTGTAGTTATATTGATTTCAGTGAGCGATATTGGGTAATAAGGGAAATTACTTCGGTATATTCGCTTGAAGTCGAAAGTGTCAAAAAGAAAAAATATCAGTCTGAGTTATCTATAGCCACAAATTCGTTCGTTATATAGAATTACACTAGGATGAGTTAACGAGCCAAGAGCTAGCTGTGTCCTTAAATTTGACCATCCTAAACATCGTCAATGACACTCCTCTAGTGTCTCATGATCTGAAAATACCTTTTCTACAGTTGATGTCAACTCGCCAATCCCAACCTAGCATCTACTTAATCGTTTGTGCGACGACATGAGATTTCAGCTGCATAGAGAAAAATAGTAATTACTCTTGGGAAAGTGTTGCTCACTGTTTTATAAGCTTTCCTAGAATTATTCGAGTGTTTGGCTTGTCATCCATAGAGGAGCGTGTCGATTCTGATAGTTCGATCATGAGTCGAACTCGTAATCTCTGTGGGCTATCGACGCACATTTTCATATGCGAAGTTGACCTGACGACATCCTGTGGATTGTCATAAATTTCTCTAGAAGAGGTAAGATAATCATACTTGTTGCGTGATTGCGAGTGTGGAGCCTGATACATGTTGAATCATTCGCAGACGGCGCCGCTATGTTCGTATCTTGTGTGGCAAGTTATCTCGATCAAGATTCTGTATCAAGCTGACTCGAACATTAAACTGCAATAATGACTGTGGCACGGCCCTGAATAGGAGTCTTGCAAAAATTCGCATGGTATTTTAACACTTAGTTTGGACTTCTTCGCAGATAATTTATTTATAAAAAAGTGTATATAAGGAGCAATTGTATCAACTGACCAACCGATTTTATTCACATCGCACTACTATTCTATCAAGCAGCCCGCCCGAAATATGCATAATAACCTTAATTAAAAGTTTGCAATTGTTGACTACCAACTAACGGGGTATATAACTCACACAATTCATCCATAGAGTGAGATTAATCAATATGCGTCTCTATTCGGTAGCACAAAGTAAATAGTATACTTGACATAATAATATAAAAATTGCTCTGTGATGGCTTTGACATAAACTTAAGGAAGACACGGAAAGACGAGGTGCTACCTTTTTCATACTGGCGTTAGCGAGCTCTGTGAAGTAAGCTTGTAGAACTCACACCGACCGTTCGAAGATGGTAAACTATTACTATGCAGGCAAAGCGATCTAGCACTTGGTCAATCTCACATACTGGTTGTCAAGGTGTAGATGTCACACGAACAAGTGTGGATATGAAACTTATTGGTGAGTGGTATGAGACCTGCATAATCATGAATTCTGCAGAAGTAAGTAATATTCTCAGAGATACTTACGTGGGGCATGTAATCGTCATTTGTTGCTTCCGTTGCCTTGATTACGGGGTAAGGTTGAAGTTAATCGACATGTATTTTATACATAAAGTATATAGTATGAACTTTGTTTGGAGAGACTATATAATCATGCTGAGAGTTTAATCTTCCGAGAGAGGCTGGAGGAGTTGAGTCGTTTATGTCTTCGATATGGTCACAGTTAGTAAATTTGTGACTCTTCGCACAATCGTTCATAATGAGAGCAACGACTATTACTCTTTACCCAATTCATCATGGATGTTGTCTCAATCTATAGCCAGGTGACTCATCAGCATTATATCTCTGATAGTATATCAATTGCTCAACCAGATGGTGAATCTTCGTGTTTCTAGATTGATTTACTACAAATGTGACACACTACTCCCGGTGCGTTTCCTTCTACTATCATATTGAGACACAAATACATAATGAGTATTTGGTTAGTTCTCGATTACGATCACATAATAATGTATGTGGACTTTTTGTTGTAAACAATATAATTCAAGA